GAGCTCCAGGCGGGGCAGGGGCCACCGGCTGCCAGCAGAGGGTGGTGCTGCCTTACGTTACACCCCGCCAGGCCCTTCCCACCTCACTCTGAGCCTCGCAGGCAGCATTCTGAGTCTCTTTCAGATGACCGGGAACCACCAGACCTCCTCCGAAGACCACAAGGGCTGCAGCAGCTGCCTGCAGCACAGGGCTGTCCTCGGGTAATGCTTACCCTGGCTCCTCGAAATGCAGGTCCAGACCAGGTGGTGGGCCCCCTCCCACCCCTCATCCCGTGGAGGAGGACTCCTTTTCCAATGAGGACCTAGGGATGCAGGGCTGGGGGAGAGGAGGAGGGGAGGGGAGGGAGGCCAGAGTATACTAATCTCTTTTCCTTCTCCACTGTGCTCGCCTAGTGTGTGATACTACAGAAGGAAATAGACTATCTCAGAGAGCAACTGGGTATGAGCAACGTCTGGCAGGGGCAGGGGCAGACAGCTGTGTCTCGCTGCATACGCTGGGGCGGGGGGGTTGCAGGGAGAAGGGCTGCAGGTGCAGGAGCCTCGCAGGGCCCACCCTTCCCAGGGCATGAGAACCCCGCAGGCTTGGCCCCGGGGCCCTGTGTGCCTCTACAGCTAGTTGTACACACAGGCAGGAGAGGTGTTGCCTGACCTGCGTGCGCTCTGACGAAGAGAAGCGGCCCTACCGGTCTTCTCTTAGCATGTTTAGGGGTACCCCATCTATTCACCTCGCTCCACTTGCACTGCGCCCTGGTGTGGCTTCTACAGTGTGTGTGTCTTACTGTGTGTGCCTGTCTCACAAGTCCTGAGTGGTTCTGAGGTGCCCCCAAGGCTTGAGGACTACGGCACGTTGTGTTGCCACGTCCAAAGTATGTGCACGCTGAGTGGAGGTGAGGGGTGAGTGAGTCAGCCCCAGGGCTCTGTGGAGGGGCGGCAAGGGGTTTCAGGTTGCAGGGCCAGGCAGTTCCTCTGGGGGGTGGGGGGCAAGGGGCCAGGCTTCTGTAGCCCTGTGTCTGGACCGCCTGCTTATGCCTCTCTGTCTCAGCAGCCAAGCAGTCCCCGGATGACAAG